AAAAAATGTATTGACTGCAAGCATTGTTCCCTGGAATATATAACTACCTTTGTTTTATGGAAATGATATTAAGATTGGTAGTTCAAAGTCAAGAACTCAATTCTCACTTATTAAGCAGTCATAATAATAAGTTCACACATAAGTCTATTTCTAATTTATACAAGAGTAATCACATAGAAAATAAATCTATATGAATATTGTATGATATCTCTAACAGTCGTTCAATCATGGTTTTGTTAAGGTAAGTAAAAAATAATATGAATTATTATTGAGTTTTGATGAATTTAAAAATGCCAAAGATATTTATTATGAATTGGAGTTACAGTTTGGGGTGACTTCCTTGAGTAATTTAACAGTATTGACTCAATAGTACTATTCTTTTATGATGAAAGAGAATGATTATGTGGTTGAACATGTTAGGAAAATATTTTGTTGATATTTTTTTCTCCAGTAGTAAGATTTCCTTCTGTTATAATTTTGATGTATATTTGTAGGACACTTAATGTAAAAATACATAGGGGTATGGAGTATTTTATTTCATTTATTGATGATTATTCGAGATTTAGTTATATTTATCTAATTTGTAGTAAATCTGATGCACTTGAAATGTTCAAAAAATTTAAATTGGAAGTTGAAAACCAATTAGATAAAAGAATTAAAATCCTTAGAATGGACCGAGGAGGGGAATATTATTCTAATTTGTTTGATAATTTTTGTAAAGAAAATAAGATAATACATCATAAGACCATGCCCCACACACCCCAACAAAATGGTATTGCCGAAAGACGTAATCGAACTCTTATGGAAATGGTGCGATCTATGATGAGTCATACTAATTTGTCTTCAATTTTTTTGGATGAAGCATCGCATACTACTATGTATATTTTAAACCGAGTTCCCTTAAAATCTGTAGAGAAAACACCTTATGAGTTGTAGACTGGACGTAAACCTCGATTAGAACATTTAAAAATTTGAGGTTGTAATGCTCATGTACTTATCCCGAGCCATGAGAGATCTAAGTTGCAGGTTAAAACTAGAAAATGCTCATTCATAAGGTACTCTGATAATTCTAGGGGTTATAGGTTTTATGACAATGAGGCCAAATTTTTGGTTGAATCTAGAGATGCACATTTCTTAAAACAACATATGAAATAGGCAAACTCTCTTTTATAGATATACATGAATTCGACAATAACAAAGGAGTAAATGAAAACATAGAACTTTATGAATCTAATATAGAATACCTTGATAACTACATAGATAGTGGGAGTGATACTATTGAACTTACTAATGTAAATAACAGTGAACTTATGAGAAGTTCTAGGAACAGAAGAGCACCATATCATTTAGAACCATATCAGAGTTTTGTTGGCATTGACACTTTTAGTCAATACTATAAATTTTGCTTGTCAAGATATTCCTGAATTTTCCAATTATAAAGAAGCTATTAATTCTGATGAATCTTATTTTTGGAATAATGCTATGAATGAAGAAATTTATTCTATAACTAAAAATAATGTAGGGGAATTGGTAAATTTGCCTTATGGGAGAAAATCCATTTATTGTAAATAAATATTAAAAAAGAAAGCTCAAGACTGATGGTAGTATAGATAATATAAAGACTTGTTTGTTAAAAGGTGTAACCAATCTTCCATTGGCCGAGGGAATAAGTACCTAATTTAAGTGCCTAATTTGTTCCTCCAGGAGTGCGTTCGCTGAAGTTTCCGGGTTTTTTGACATGCAAAAAGATCGGTTTTCCGCTTCCAGGAAAAAGATGAAGCAGGTGTGCTTTTGAAGCTTTCCTCTATCAGATTCAAATGTGAATGGAAGCAATTATGGCTACGCTTGGATTGAGCTTTTCCCCATCTTCTGTTTTCGCCCCAAGAAGGAACAACCTCCCAAATATTTATTTGAGTGCAAAAATTCCTTTTTCAGGAGGTAAGCAACTTCCGATCAGTGACATAAGCGTTTTTTCTTTGTGGGGTTTTCTTGTTTTACGATTTTTTAATTTTATTTTTATTTTTTAATGTTTTTTGTGATTTTATTGACTGGTTTAGATGCAAGGGCCAAGATTTTTAGTGGGTTTATATTTGTTTATGAATTTGGCTCTGGCTTTTTCCTATATTCGATTTTTATTATTGCTCTGATAAATAATCAGGCTAGTTTTTCTTTGAGATTATGTGGGGTTTTGTTGTTTTGTTCATTTACATGTAAAAATACTTCCTTTTTAGTTTTTAGTGGGTTGCAGTGGGTTTTTGAGATTCACTGTTGTTCTGGATTATTTGTAATAGATTTAGACTTGAAGAACAGTATCAGATTGGCCGTTTATAATGTTGGTCCATGCAAAGCCAAGGAAGAGGATGAGATGGATGGACTTCCTAAAGAGTTCTATGATGATGTAAGTTTTATTCGTGATGTGCTGCCCTCTTTCGTTCTGGTTCTTCTTCTCTTTCTTTTCTATTGCTAAGTTCTTCATTCCACTCATATTTGTCTGCATTTGAGTTTCAAATGAACTTACTATTGTTGGCTTGCTTTGTTACTTTTTGCTGCTAAGCTAATAGAATCAATATATTGTGTTAACTCATGATGAATGGGGTTAGTTAAGCATCATAAATAGAGATGGTTATCTCGTAACCTTTCCTGTTCTCACTCTTTTTTCATTTTCCTTTATATTTTCTCATTTCTTTTATATTTTTGGTGTCTTAGATGTGGTACCATCCATTATCTCTATTTGAAATCAGTGTTCAAAAACTCAAGGCGACTCAGACTTGCACGAGTTACTCGGACTCTGCAGGCTGCCGAGTATGAAAACAAAACAATGGGAACCGGCAGCATCTCGCCTGTTCCCAATATCTTATTGTTGATTTTTTAGGATTCCTAGTATTTGACATATTCGGCTGAGTCAAGTTGCCTGACTCAGACTCAGGACCCTTGCAAGTTCCCACCTCTTGTACTTGTTTTAAAACACTGTTTGAAGGTATGCTGATATTTGTGATCAGATAAGTTACATATTCTGGGGCTTGTTACTCTTTGCTATGATAGATCCTAGGCTTTATCATGTGCAGTTATTGTCTTGGAACTTGGAAGTTGTGGCCTAGATGTTTAGATCATAAATCATGGTAAAACCTATGGCTTGCTTGGATGCTAACGTTAACCTTACATGGAACATTGAGATTTCATTTTATCTTAGACTAGGAGTGGCAAGCGCGCCAACGTGAAAAGACCAAAGAATTGCAAAGGATGCGTGAAGAAGAGGAAGAAGAAGAGAATAGAAAGGTGGAGGAGTTTCGTGAGATTGCCTCCCGGTTGAAGGGGTACCCTGAAGAAGAAGTTCGAAAAGCAAGGCAATTAGTTTCCAGCTTTATATTAGCAGCAGAAGAAATTGAGGAGGTACCTTTAATGGAAGATTGCATCAGTATTCATCTGATTTTCAGTAATTACCATGTCTTCCTTTCCCTTTTTTTTTTGGTGAAAAGAAGGTTCTTTTTTAATTTTTTTTAACTGTCATTAAGTTATTGATTCTCAGCATGATAATATCATTTATTCCTTGAGATGATCATCTCAGCTGAGTTTTTCTTCCTATTTAAATGATCAATATATTGGCTTCTTGATATATATTTTTTGATATGTTGTCGCTATTGTGTTCTGAAATGTGTAGAAAATTGAAGAGGCTGCTGAGAGGGGGGAACTTACGGAGCTTGTTTTAATGATTATATGGAATCGCCTTGATCTTGCTCGACGAGATGTATGTAGTACTAATTGAAACTTAATTCAAACTTTAGCATGGCTCCTTTTTCAAAAACAAAATTGTTTCTTTCATTTCCAAAACAAATGTTTCCATCTTATTTGAAGGTGACATTATTGGTATTGTACAAGAGGATATAAAGCTATATATGCAAAGGATTGCAATGCCAGGAATGCACCTTTGTTAGATTAAACCAGGAATGATAATGTTTCAATTAGTGATCAAGTTAGCTTTCCCCGTACATGACTGGGCTTCCTATTTTCCTGCTTTTATAACACATTCTGATTGATGTGGACAGTTTGCACTTAGACAACGCCTACTTTTGACTTTGTTTACTGTGATGTCTCCAGGATGAGAAGGACGTCATTAGGTCTCTCGATCTCTTGTACAGGAGGATTGAGGTGTGTCTTTAGAAAACCTTAATTGATTCTGGATACATTCTTGTTTTTGGCTCCTAAAGTTTAATCAGTAGCAAGGTTGTGTTGTTGATTTTATTGACCTTTAATAAGCTTTAAGGTTTAACTACCTATGTATCTGTATATCTGTCTATCTATCTATATCCATCCATCGTCTACATGACCAAGATAGGTTGTTATCAGACTGAGATTTTGAAGAGGGAGGCTAGTCCAGCAATGAGGCTGCTCAATGAGCTATTGAATATGCATGATGGGTTTAATGAAGAAGAATGGCGTAGGAAATGTCGGAAGTTGATGGTCGAGACATTCCCGAGAGAAGATCCTTTCAGCATGCTTGTTCCAGCTGGATTTGACATCAATAATGTATGAAAATTCTACTTGAGTTTAAAATCATGATCTCTTAGTGTTGCATTGCTTAGGGGTTATCAGTGCTTTCCATATTATCTCCTCTTATTTTGTGGGATATGAATTATTGCTATTTCTATTTTATTTGTTTGCCCTCCTCTTTCTGTTTGTTTAGTGCTTGTAAATTTGATTGGTGGGTTGCTTAGAAATTTTTTTGTATCTGTGAGTGTGTGTGTATATGAGAGAGAGAGAGAGAGAGAGAGATTTGTTGTTGGGGTTAAACTTGAAGATAACAGAACAAACGACAACTTAAAAACATTGAAAAATTACAGTTGGTTAGCCTCACTTGTGGGAATCGATATTGAAATATGTATCAATCAGAAAAGATTCATATTGAATTATGTTATAACTTAATACCTCAGTTTTTCCTGCTTCTACAAAGTCATTTGGTTTTAGACAACACTCTCTAGTCTCTAGTATAAATATCATCTTCGTAGCAATCAAATCAACACAACTAAAGCTATTGGCAATGACAACAGACAGGATCATGGTCATGGGAAAGCATATGTTATATCTTGAAATTTGGCACATGTGGTCCTGAAATCCGTTTTGCTTGCTTACAAAATTTAATTTTATCAAAGAAAAGAGACTAACAAAAGGTATTAATGCATTCTTCTGGTGGAAACTTTTTTCCTCATGTAAATTTATATTTTATACGTCTTTTCTACACAATCCTTTTGTAGTTCATTCTTATTATTAGAAAGGAAAAATGGCATGCTTTTATCGTGATCTCTATGTTTTCTGATGAACAGCATTATGGCCGAATAGAATTGCCACCTGATAATGATGACGTCCTATTAAGGGTGGACTTTGTAAGGGAAGTTGATGCCTTGCTACAAGAGGTTAAAGAAGAGCAAAGCGAAATGCAACCCATCGAGGGCTTCGACCCCGAATCTGTCGCAATGAGAATGAAGCAACAGGAGAAGCGGAGGACCATAGACCAGGTGGAAGCACTGCTAGATTTAGCAGCAACACTACAATGGTAGTTGTACACAATGACTGAAAACAATCACCCACCCTGTTTCGTTGGCTAGATTTGAGATGAGTGAAACTTTTTGGACACTTTATAGCGGAAAATTATTAATGGGGGAGCATAGATACAAAATTGCTGATTTGGGTTGCAGAATTTACTGAATGGGCCCCTGATTTGTTGCCCGCTTGAGGAATACAAATGATGACTCTGTACTCTGCTTGGGAGAAACTTTTAGCAAATGTTATACAAGTTTCGTTCCTTCTTTTTGCTGAAGAGATTTGCGGCTCTTGTGGGTTCATGCTGTGCATTTAGTCCCTCGGTTAAACTCCCATCTTTTGGCTTTTGTATTCTCAATTTGGGGGTCGCTTTGCTTGCGAATGTGGGATGACTTTATGGCTTGGATGATGACTTTATGGCTTGGATGCTGTAATTTCAAACTATGCTAAGTAGCTTAAATCAAGAAGCTTTTTGCCGAATCTTGGATTACTAGAATGAGCACCTGCAGCGTACTCTTGCAGGAATATATTGTACACTTCATCGGTCAAAAATAACTATTTGAGAGGAGTAATGATCCAATGAGACCCTCCCACACCCATATGTAGGATCTCAAAGGATCACCATTAAATTTGGTATAGATCTCTAGAAAAATCAAATTTCACACTCATGAGATAATTTTTTTAGAAATATATGTCAAATTTAATAATGATCTTTTAAAGTCCTACACACATTGATGTGGGAAGGTATTATAGGATCATTACTCTTTTTTCAATATGAAATTTTGGAATCCACTTTGGAGTTAGATGAGAATATTTCAAGAATGCACTTTCTATAAAGCCTAGGCTGTGTATCAAAATCTTGTTTAGAAAAAACTTTTAGCATGGGAAATCGCTAAGATGGCTCAAAAATCTGTTTTCATCATTGATTATGAATTTTGTAGTTCAAAAAATAATACAAATCATCTTATGGATATGTATACACTTAAAAATGGATGTCTGGATAATATGTTATAATATATATATATATATTTTTTTTTAAACTGTATATGTTATTTTTAGGTTTTTAAATATTTTTTTTACAATTATAATGATGATCGATTTGAAGGCTTTCCAATACCACAACTATAATCTTTAATGAGTTTTTAACCAAGGCTTTAATTTTTTCCATAAAGCCTTTGCTTTTTTCCGTTTTGAAAGGAACAAAAACACTGAATTTCGAGTTTCTAAACACATGGATCGAGATGTCAAAAAATTGGATGGTTTATTTTCTATCTTTAAGGCAACACGTTAACATCAAGCCCAAAGAAAGTGTTTGTGATTTTTCTTTTTCTCATTTTTAGAAGTTGGTCCCCAGGTTTAGGATATTATATTCCTAAAATTTGGGCTCCTAGAACTCCTATGCAGAGTTTTATCTGTACATCTGATGGTGTCAATGATTTTTCACCCTTGTTTTCTGTGTGTCTTGAGAAGTTGGTCACGTGGTTTACGATAAAACATACACAAAATTTGGGGTCCTAAAACTCCTAGACAGGGTTTTACCTGAATGTACAATATCATCCTGCGGGAGCCAACATATTTTTTTTTTTCATATCCTTCTCTAAGTGACAATTTCATTCTCTGTTCACTAAAATATATTGACTCCCTCAACGGGCTCAAATTCTGTTAGCAATCTCTTTTCTTGCTTGATTGCTTGCTTTGTACTTGGTCTCTTCCCAATTCTCCAATTTCCATGAGAACAAAATCCAGTAAATAATCATGTTCTGCTAGTGATGCCCCATGATCTCTCTCTCTCTCTCTCTCTCTCTCTCTCATACACACTCAACTGTCACCTACACCCCACTGTTATTAAAAAATTTAAGTTCGCTTCCTAATAACAATATCTACACCAATCTGATATTTATTACAAACTAGGTACAGTACTGAATACTACACAACCATTGGATATTATGTTCTATAGCAAATGAATGCCACAAAGCCTAAGATATACAAAATCACAAAACATGGATTTTTATGAAAATTCACGGTCAGAGAGGATCAGTGGGGCAACCAGAGACCAGACGTATAGGCCTGCCGTGACCCATTCAGTGCACATACGCACCCAAACTGAGGTCCACCCGACATCAATGAGATCCTCACTATCTGACAAGCTGGTCCACCCAGTTAGAAGCATGGCTGAATACATGCTTGCCAGGGCAAAGATTAAGTGGAAGAATGTGTAAGAATAAGAGACGGGTCGTGCCTCATTTTGCTTATTTTTCTCTACCTCATCCAAATTGTCCGATTCAAGCAGAGGCTTCTTTTCCCCTAAACCAATGAAACTGATGAACATTAGAGACATGCATATGCACATTTATAAAGTGAATCCCACATAACAAAAGAATCCCACACGCACATGATGTGCCAGTCAAAGTATAAGCATAAATAAATACGAACTATTTATTATATACCCATTTAAAAACTAATAATTTATTATCTAATAATAATTGTACTGCTGAGTCTTGTCGCCCAAGTACTAGACACTTTCGACGCTTATTGCACATGGTAGTCATGTTAGTGTCTAGGTAAAATAAACATACATATACTGGATACAAGAATACAGTTGCACCCATATGGATTCGAAGACTCTTGAAAAGAGGCTTCTTCCCTGAAAATAAAGGAATTTCCTGTACATTAGCAAATATTCATGCATATATATACATCAGAACGACACAAAACACACACCATGGATTAAATGTATACTCATACACACATAGTTGCTCTAGATGCAAACATGCAATCATGCCAATGTGAATGCTGAAAGAGGCTTCTTGCCCCCAAATTAAATGAATTACATGCACATTAGACGTGTATATGCTCATATACATATAGAAGACTCATATAAACACATAAATTCCTCACATGCAGATGTAGAACCATCCCAAAGTACAATAGATTAATGGATGGTCTGGATGGCATGTACATTTTGTTTGAGCACCTTATCTAAACTAGAGATATTTTGATTTTTTGGAAACAGAGAATTACTTAGATAACATTATATCCATACATGCAATTGTGTCCGTGCATGTTTCAAAAGTAGAGTATTATTTCGATAACATTAACTCTACTAAAAGATTTCAATTACCAGCTTTGGGAGATGATGGGGGCGACAAAAACGTTGTTGAGGAACCAGCGCGAACAGCCGAATACACAACAGAGAGAACAGTGGTAATCATTCCCATAATGAGAGTTCCTGTTGAAACTGCTTTCGAATGCTTATGAAGCCCATTGCATTCATAGTCTCTAGGTTCACTGGATAAACCAGTATAACACAAGTATGCACAGTACATAGATATTACAGAAGCTGGAAACAGGCTACCATTCACCTGTGAAAGGAAACTATGGTTCATGTATATCAAGATATAGAAAGCTTTCAAAAAATATATCTAGCAAAATTATGATGTGAGAGAAACAGAGGATTAATATAAGGCACGAATAAATCAAAAGTCCCGCCAAATTAGTCTAATGGCACGAGCACCGAGACTAGATATAGGGAGAGCACACACTGATTTCAATATAGACCATGTGCAACGCTTTAGGGAATAGTTGGAGGTTTCAGTAAAAAATCCAGTTTAGCATATGATAGAACAAACTCTAAACCATGGGACTCGTCCAAATTTGAAATTCATTTTATAAGACTGGATTCTGCAATCCAACTTCTGGACACACAATCTGCAGGCACATAATCTCAAACCATGTGAACAGGTCCTCTGTATGTGTGGAGTTTTTCCTATGCATAGATTTGAAGGGAAGTTCTGCTTTGTAAGAAGACTTCTTATTTTTATTTTTATTTTTTTTGAAAAAAAACTTCTTATGTTTTATTGTTGATGACCTCACATGATGTTTACCTTCGGGAATAAAATCACAGCAGCGGACATCCACAGCATTGGGACTCTAAGTTACCTAACCAGTACTTATTTGCAGAAAATATCAGAGGAAATGGCAAGCCAATTGATGACAGGTTACTAAATTAACTAAGGAGTTGACAATTTTCTAGCATAATCTGACATAATTTCCAGACTCAGTGGTTCTTTTCTAAGTTCGACAATGAAGTTCAATTTATTGTAGTTCCTTCTATGAGAGATGGGAACTTTCCCCCTCACATTGAGAGTTCTGAGTGATACTTGTACATAGAAACTTTTTAAAAGCTACTTCCTGCTGTGAAAAATTTTAAAAGCTACTTACTTCTATGATTCTATCCCTTGTATATGCACTTTGTACTTGTTTCTCATATTAATACAACTATTGGCTTACCTGCTCAGAAACCCCTTGCAAAAAAAAAAAGTGTACAATGAGACCATTTATCTTTAGTACCAGGTGGTCGCAATTAATCTTGACCATTGGATTGATATGCAAATAACCTGATTTCTGCATCTGTTTCTTTTCTAGCTTAGCTTTCATATATCTAAAAAAAAAAAAAGTGATCTAAATTTCCCAAGACAATCCATCACGTGGCAACTTTTAAACTTTCTGATTTATGTTTCTAAGTACCAACAAACTCCTAAAACTAAAACAACAGAAAAGAAAATCACGAATTTACCTTAGGATGCAAAGCAACGATTGCAAACCCAAATGCAAGAATCATTGTCATGACAATGAAGAATACATTGAGACCACAATCATTGCCTGAAGGATTGAACCAGAAGAAGAGCAGCCCTGAGAAAGCAAATGTTGCCAGGTAGCATACCACTGACACTGAAAGCAACGCAATGTACCTACGTGAAAGAGAGTAAATATAAGACATAAGAAAAGTCAAGGAATGTGCAGAAAAGAAAAAGAAAGGGCTCCACGAACCACTTCTGTTCATCTTTCTCAACCCAAGCATCATTCCATGAATGTGTAAAATCCAGAAGTATGATCACTTGAACTAGTAGAAACAAACCCGACCCAAATTTTGAGAGCATTGCTGCAAGTGAGCAAAGTTACAAGGGTCAGATTATCACACAGAATGCAATGCCATCCGGCTTAATGAAGAGCAAAGAATTGGAACTTAATGACATTGTAAATAAGGATAGTGAGCTTCAATACAATTTTTTTGGAATAAAATGATCTTAAGCATGCTCAAAGAAATCATATAAAGGATTTATGCAATGTCACTCAGAAGTTCTTCTCAGTGTTATACCTTCAAAAATTAATATGCCCTGGAGTAAATTACTAAAAATAAGAAAAGTTTAAGATCTCTTTCAAAAGAACATTCTTCAGTTTGAATTGAGATCCACTTACCATACATATTGAAGACTGCATTCGGAAGGAAGAACATTAGAATAACAAGTAGTGACCACACTATGATTTTTGTTATCCATCCCCCATGGTGCCATGAGTCCCTTCTATCATTCTGGTCCTTAACACCAATCATTATGAGTGCAAAGATTGTGAAAAACAAGAAATTGCCCAAACTCACACGAAGGACAGCAGCCATTTGATACCATTCTTTACTATGAGTCTCAGACGAATTACTGGTCCCTGAAAAAATGCAAAAGGAACATGTTCTTAATACTTTTTGGGTTGAATTTGTTATGAAAAGTATGGTTGAATATGTCAAAATATCTATGAATGTATCATTGCTTAATGAAACTTTCTCTTTTTTATATGAAAATGTGTGGTCCAAATGATGGAAAACGAGTAGTATCTTTCACATATCCTCCCAGTTTGTCGATTTCTGGGGAAATGATACCGAAAAAAAAAACTTTACACGGTATGAAAGAACCATATCCCAAAGAAAAAATATGTATAATCATTGGGTATCTACAAATGAACAAAAAAAGAAAAGGTAAGCAAGGAGTTCATAAATTGAATAGAAGCTCTAGACGAGGGATATATAGTTTTGGATTTGCTCTAAAAAAAGTGTGGCACAAATAGGCGATAAGATTAGAGAGAGTAAACTTAGGTAAGCTGGCCATGTGTGGCGCAGACCTAGTACAGCACCTGTTAGGAGGTGCGAGTTAGCTCAAGTAAAATGCTAAAAAAGGGCAAGGGGTAGGTCCAAATGGACGTAGTTGGAAGTAGTCCGAAAAGATATGGAAATTTATGGCCTCATTGAGGGTATGGACGTTAATAGAACAAAATAGCAAACTAGGATTCGCGTAGCCAACCCCAATTAATTGGGAAAAGGTTATGATGATGATGAATTTCTCTAAAAAAGGGTCAATTATGCAATGATCAAGATGAAAAAGGATGCTTACCTTAAATGCATGATCCTTTTTTAAACGGATCATAACGTGGAACAATCAAAGAACTTGTATTCAGATTCAATTATAAATGATCAAATCGCTTCAAAAGACGATTCCGGAGAAAAAGTTTGATAAAGAGATTCCACAGTCTCCTTTTTTTTAACAATAGGCAAGAACCTGAACACGAAAATGCACAGCTTACACTGTGGTTCGTTTTTCTTTGGTAGGTAAGCAAGAAAAGCGACAACCAACAATAGAACTTAAGTTTTCATCTCAACCAGAGATGAAGTCCAACCATTTTCGTCATAGTTTATCTCTGATTATTTTTTCACCAATGAGAGAAAGAAGAGAAGCCAGTCGATTCCAAGATTATGCTTCTTATTAAAGCATAACTTCCTCTTGAAAATGTTAAGATTGTCATCCTCAGTGATGCTCAATTTCAAAACAATACTAAAGAGCAATCTGTCCATTTTATAGTACATCTAATACATTACATTCAATTTCTTCAAAAGAAAGAAACGTACCAAGAGATCTAAATTGCAATTATTAACCAATAGCAGGACTCCTTCCATTAAAAGAACATAAAAAATTAAACCAGGAAGGCACCTCTTTTGCACGAGTCATAACTATAAAGAACTAAATTTAAGATTATCAGTGAAGATTCATGGCTATTCATCATTAAGCGGGCACTCATTTTATCAAGTTCGTTGATTAACTGAAGCACATTATAAAAATATATATTGTCCAAATCCACTTAAGGTACTTATAAAAAAGGGAAAAGTTTATACAGACAGGAGGCTCTAAACAATCAAATTTAAGCCTACCTCAAAAATTTCACTAGAAGAGGTTGTTTTGATGCCCAAATATCTTCAAATTGATCATCTCGACATCAAGATGCATGGACATGATAAAGAAAAATGGATTTCAAGTTTTGAAAATAATGTATTTTGTGAGGCATTTTTGGACCGTCAATTTTCAAGATTTTCAAGTTTTCATAGATATGTGATGAAAATATATTTTAAGGCGATTTCCAATATTGAACGACAAACCGCACCCTATAAAAAAAACACCATCAATTTTTTTCTTCTAAAATTCACTGATTTTCTAGCCGCTCATTTTTCTTTTAAGATGAACTATTGTTTATGCCGATCTCTCTCATGAAATCATAGGAATTCAAAGTAAGTAGGAAGAGAGAGAGAGAGAGAGAGAGAGAGAGAGAGAGAGGTACGGTACGTAGT